TTCTGGGTCAGGAAAGTCGATTACTCTGCGGCTCAGTGTGTTTTGAGAGCAGAACCTCTCCAGGCCCCGGTAACGTGTAAACAGGCTGCAGAAGTGACGTCACGTCGTTACGTCGTTACGTCGTCACACGTGCGTGCATCCATGCATAGGTGAGTCAGGACTCGGTGCTATTGTGCTTGGTTCGTTCTCGAGGCAATTACACTGTTACTCGTATGTAGAGTTTAACGACAGTTGACGCCGACGCCGGCGCCAACACGAACAGCAACATCCCAGCACTTCACTCGCCAACACACCCTTATCTACAATACGTGTACATCAGCAAACAGCTGAGAGCGCGAAATTCGTCAACCTTCGCTCAGTTTCTCTTGCCTAGGATACAAATACACAATTTGCCGAGAGCCGATCTACCTGAGGACCGCGCAGTGATCTTGCGACAAGAGAAAATCCCATTACTTTCTATTGCCTTTGACACGGCGCAGGTCGTATCGTTTGGATCTTCAATTTGATTTCCGGGTAGGAGCGCCAGTTAAGGAAATCAATTTTCGCACAATTTCTTCGATCCTTTTACACCAGATTATTCGCATTTTCGATCTAAGCTTACTTTTGATCGAAAGCCCAGGAAGAGTGTGAGCTCCACTGGAGGAAGCATCTAGGAGAATACCCATTTAGGACTGAGGTTATTCTAGGCGAAGAAGATGGCCAGTGAACTGAGAGAGGTTAATCGTGTTCGAACGAAACGCAGCCAAAACAGCGACTGTACTGTTAGCGTCCAGTGAATCGGAGCGCAATCAGTGCCCAACGCGAAAAGTTTTGCTTTTTAGGATGAAGGCAAAGTGCCGCGACGCGTCCTGACTTAGAGTATCGAGCGGGGAAGGTTTGTTTGCTTGGAAACAAAAGCCGAGCAACAGGCCCTCCGCCTTTCCGCCCCGCCGCCCTCCTTCCGCCGCCTTCCACCTCCTCGCTAGCCGAGACCTCACGGCCTGATCGACGACAGCGAGGACGACGAGTCGCACGAGGAGAGGAAATCTCCATAGCCGAGTAAGGCGGGGCGGGGCGGGGGCGACAGCAAGTCCAAACTACCCTTGTGACTCCTGACACAATGTAGCGCCGGCGCCGAATCTTTTGATCCGTCACAGCCGGCAATTTAAACTTTGCTCAATCAAATAGTTTATAATTATAGAGCGAGAGGTGTTCGACATTGCTTGAAAGTTGGCTTCAATTTCGGAATCTCTGTCCCTTCCGCTATACGGATTCCGGAGATATTGCACAATCGCTGGGGTAAACGGCCACCCATAATCACCTCAAATCTGTCAGCGAATTTCCAGGAGCGCACAATTCGATTAAGCTTTCGGTGCTTTGGACATCGGAATTTTGAAACTGCTTGCATAAGCGAGCTGTTTTCACGCGATTTCAAAAGAAACCGCTTTCACCCCTCAGTTCTTTGAATGTGTCACCGGTGAATTGCAACGTTAAAAAATTCACATTATTTGGAGGCGGACCAATAACGAGGTGATCGTCGAGACGCATAACATTTTTCTCCCAATGAAAAATTCCTACAGGCGGGCAACAGAAATTTGAGCTGCATGCGTATTGAACCGGTCACTGCGAATAGTTCGACTGCCGAATGGTCGTGACTCCGTACGCACGAATGCTTGTTTCAAGTACTGAAGGAATTTACGTCGAACCACATACTCCCATCAACCCAATCGACCCGTCGATGCGCTTCCGCATGAAATGAACTAATACATGGTCATCGCATCGCTTGATTGTTGTCTACAACAAAGAGGCCAGTATTATAGTTAGGAAGGCGGATAGTTTTCAGTGTTACGAGTCTAATGGAAAAATACTTGTTTTTCTGCACGAATGAAAATTTATTCCTTTAGCGAGCAAATTCTAGAATTAAAAATATTTATCGTACAATCACTGTTATTCCTGCAGTAAGCAAGAATGGTAAGCACGGTGAATTTAGGTACCAAGTGAAGTTCATTCTTCCTCACCTAGAATACAGCTCTGGTAAAAGTAGATTTTCAAATCTTGTATAACTCTGAGAGAGATTGTGGTGTTCCAGGGAGAATGGAAGTTCGTGTGGAAAATCCATTGAAAGATGCAAAAGCGACGCAATAGCTGCGGCCAGCTGGATGCAACGAAGAAAACCAAAGGTTCTTAGAAACGTTTAAGGGCTGCTTCTCAATTTTCGAGCGAATGGAGCGATATTCGGCCAACTCTCAAAGTGCCGAGTAGCGCGCTAGAACCTGTGTCCAAGCTATTAGAAACTTCCTCAATTATGTATATAGCTATATAGGTATATAGCTACCATGTGAGACCTATATTCTATCGATGGGCAGCTGAGCGAGAACGGGCGAGCGTGGAAGTAATGAATTTAAGAGTAAAGTTTACATAGTTGCTGGACCACTTGAGTCACAAGAAGAGTCAGGGAAGTCCATTCGGGAGCCAAGCAAAGGAAGTAGCCTCCTGCACTATGTTTGATTAGCAAGTTTGAACTAAACTCTGATAAGTTGCTGTGAATTAAGGTAGGTTCAATGAGAACAGAACAACAGTGCGAGGGTCCGTGGTGCGTCGGCGTCGGCGTCGGCGTCGGCGTCGGCGTCGGCGTCGGCGTCGGTGGATGAGTAAGGGTGGTGGTGAGTAGCTGTAGATAATTTCAAGCATCGAGTGGTTTCTCGGGTGGTTCTCTATGAATGGAACTTTGGGCTACATGCCCTCACTACTCCCATGTGCCTCTCAGGCAGTAGTAGAATAATACTGGGGAAGTGAGACACGTGAGAGAAATGTGGAGGAAGGCGTTAGTGGGTAGGACAGGAGGGTAGGTGACTGGCTGCAATTAGCAATTCTAATTAGCACGGCTAATTCATTACCAGCCGAAGAAATATCCGTGCTGCCTAATTCAATTGCGATATCTCGGGAGGTAAAAGCCTCCTCTCCTCTTCGCTCTACGCTACTATTAGCCTAGTTTACAAGGTGCAGTTGACCCGCGCAAACACCTCGGGATAATACTGACATATACATATATGTACGAGTATGAGACGCAACATTATGCAAAATATCGGAACATTCCGTCGCGACGTAAAATCTCCAGGAACGGAAATAACGCGGCGCAACCCCGAAAACACGACTCACGTCCGGATCCTGTTTTCAGAGTCGAGAACTCTAGAAGCTGCCCCGCTGCAGGCTGCCCGGTTACTTGGCTGCTTCACATCTCGCCTGGCTGGCTGCTTCGCAGCTTCTCTACTTGCTTCGCTGGTTTCGGAATCTTGGAATTTCATCCCAATGGCGCGACAGCTGCCACAGTTGTACGAAACCGTTAAGGAAAACGACGAAACTACGAGCCAACCTCTGCCTGAGGCGATCGGGTCGGGTTTCGGGATTACGATCAGAATAAATGGACAGACGCGCAATTTTCGAGGCTTAGAGTCGCAATTCCGTAAATCGGTGCTTTCACTGCGGAATCTTAATCTTTCCAGTGAACCTGAACGTAACAGCAGTCAGTCTCGATAGATCTTCGACAATGACTTGCTCAAAGTAATTGCCGCCCCATAGGGCAAACAGATTTCCTAAGGGACCCGTAACAACTGACGTCACATCCGCTTACGAGACTAATCGTTATCCTACTTTTCAAAAATATACTATGAAATCCATACAATTTCTTAGGCGGCTTCCCTGTTTTCGCGTCCACCGATCTTCCTCTGTCCCTCCGCATCTCTCGCTGCTTAAAGAGTGCAGGTGCAATTTTACTGTAGTGATTTTGCGTAATTGGGAAAAATGTGGAAACCGTCCGAGCGGGAGTCGCGCTGGAATTTCAAAAGGAACGGAACAACCGGCGCTTCCTGAAGGATCTCGACCGTCCTGCTGCCGCTTAACGTTGACTCCTTGTTTTTCTCACGCTCCTCCCTTCAGAATCCTTTGCAGCAGTATGGGAAAGTAGAGCCAGTGAGAATTACTTGATCTTTCATTCCCGAACGTCCGTCGCTCTCGTATTATCAGCAGCAGCAGCAGCGGCGGCAGCGGCAGTACCTTATGCACCTGCACTAGTAGTAGTGGCAACGCTGCCTGCTGCTGGTAGCAGCAGCAATAACAGCGACGTACGTGGCAGCAACAGCTAGCAATAGTAGAGCACACGTCGACAGGACGCGGGTTATACCACTGGACGAGTATGTCATTTAGTGGTTTTGTTTGTCTCGAATACATGTGCGCTCGTACCGAGTTCAAATTCGCCGGCAGATCCACAATGGCTGCGGCTATACAATACGTGTCACGGTCGACTATGGACATGAGCACCTGCACACACGTACGAGAGATATTCCACACGGCCCCATAAATCTCGCCGTTCTCTTCTCCTCTTCTCCTCTTCTCCTCTTCCCCTCTGCTCCTCTTCGCCTCTTCGCCTCTTCGCCTGTTCTTCTCGATCCGCCTCAGCCTACTCCTAGTGTGTAATTGCAACAGCGACAGTGACGGCGACAACAGCGATGGAAGTTACGTATCCGAAACGCGCAACATGGAAACACAAATTTCCACGCTGTCACGTAAAATCGCACCAGGACGTCTGGAGGATTTTCAGACAAAGGAGGAACGACGTTTCAAAAAGCTCAAAATGGATAGAAAAACGTTGTAGAGGAGGCAAGGTGATCGGGAGGATCGGGAGGATCGAGCGGATTAAGAGAAGTTCCGGGACTCTTTCGACTTTGCGGTTGGCCAGTCGCGTAGGAGCGAATCAGGATTAAATAGTTCAGCTTCTACAGCTTCTTATATGTATCGATTGCCTAGATGGACTCCTGTAGAGAGAGACTGTACAGGGTATAAAATAAACTAGAGTATAGGGTAGCTAACATATAGATATTCAAATGGCAGAACTGCCCTCCGGCAACATTGATCGAGCCTAACGAGACTGGGTAAGCTAGTTAAAAAAAAAGTGGCTACCTACTAGTTATTGGGCACATTCGATCTTTCATTCGCTATTGGAAACACAAAACGAAAACACTCACCCGCGCTTTCGGTGTCTGTTTCAGTCCAATGGCCGGCTGGCTCCTGTTGCTCTGTAACATAAAGCAGAAAATATCATTTAAGTTGACTTTCGTGGCTCTGTTCCCTCTACTCGGCAATTTTCTTTTTTATCCGTAGCTAATCTCGTGCACTGCGCATGCGCGACGGACGCTACATCAGCCCGATTAAGAAAATGAGCTGCCACTTTTCATCGGTCAAATCCAAAAGTCAAACCAAGGATAAGGACATGACTGGGAAAGAACAGCGAGCGGAGGATCTCCTGGAAGAAGATAAAGACGGGCAGCCATCAGTGGAATTGCGTGCTGCTGAAAAAGAGAAGGAAAGGAAGAAAGAGTAATCAAGGAGAATAAGGCAGAGAATTATGAAGGACGGAACTGTCAGTGGAGCACCAAGAGATAATTGAGCGGTTTATCTCAATTAATTCGAAATAATTGCATCTCGTAATTAGTCCAATTATGGAGGATCATCTACTTCGTCTACACAGTCGACAGCGATGAGGATTCGCCTTGTCGAAGGACCAAGTCCCGACGCCCCTCGCCCCTCTCCACGCACAGGAACCCGCTGCTATTCCCTTCCAGCCTCCGTCGGCGATCGTTCGACATTGAGCAATTCGACCAAATACGAGAAGACAGTCGATTTCTTCTGTCCGGGAAAAACAATACAGATCTCAGTTTCTGGGTTCATTCTGGAAGACTGAGGCCAGGCAATTTGTCTGCATAAGAATCAGCAAGACATTTGAAGGACATGGATTTGTAAAGACAAAACAAATATAATATCTTAGCCGCATTCGAGTGACGTCTTAAAGATGTCTTCGTGCTGTACGTGCGAGCAGGAGGTTGGTCGTGTAAAACGCGCTACCTGAAGTCAGCCGGTCCAATTCATTTCTATGGCAGAGCCATCTTCAGGTTGTGGGTATATTGCGAGCAAGCCTTTACATTCAGGATAGCCAGAAAGGTATAGTATATTTATAGATAGCAGTACGGAAGAAGGTTTAGCGGCGAGAGAGAAGGCGGAGAGAGTTCTAGTAAAAGTCAAGTAAACGGTATCGCAATTCAAATAGTCGTTACTGTAAAACTCAGTCAAGAGCTACTAAAGCCGCCAACCCGATAAAAGTTAATCTTGATGCTAGCCGAGTATTCGCAGTACGCGGTGCGTTATACCTCTGAACACGCGTTTTTTCTTACGTTTTGCTGATGAAAGAAAAGGCTCGAGAAAGTTCAGAAAGACTGACAGCTACAGTCGCACTATTCGTGCACTCGTCCCAGTAATCTACCTGCGGCCTATGAGTTCTATGACTTTTGAAATGCCCAGTGCTTTACCGAATGTCACGTGACAGAGAGAAAGAAGGAGGAACTTTGCTCGTCCACGCGAGCCTCTTCACGTTAGGCGGCCATCAACGAACACCAAGGGAATCGGTACCCCGAAAGATCCTAGAATTGATTTATCCAAAAATTACAGCTCGTTTGCCAAATCATCCAGCGCTTTTATACAGTCGGAGGAATCAACTGCAAATCCGAGAGTAGCTGGAGAGCTATTGGACCAAATCACGTATAATCAGGCAGAGATAAGGAAGAGCGAGAGCAGCTGACAGCATTAGAAGCAATTACGTTCAGGACAGTATGCATCGGTGTCTGCAGGGCACCCAGGGCACCCAGGGCACCCAGGGCACGTACTGCACGTACTGCACGTATTACGTCTGTAGCGTGCATCCGATGTGCAGGTTAGGAAATACCGAACGAAACGCATGAATCGGATGGGATCAATGGCGAATTCGCAAGGGACCATTTGCGAAGCTACTGTAATAGCAACATTTTTACTCCGTTTAATTAATCGCCAATAAGCTCAACTTCGATCCCTCTTTCTCTCCAGCGTCACCGCTAATCCAAATCTGAATCTGAATCTCAATTGAAAATCCACTGAACTCGAAGCTTCGATTGTCACGTCGACCGCGTCCGTTTCCAGAAGAGTTTTCTATGTAATTCGAATCCCAAAGTGAATGGAAGGGATGGTGCCTTTCGGAGTTCGTGCTGAACGATGCCGATGAACATCGCAAGTGGAGATCGACACAGCCGGCGAATCGTCCAACCAACAGGAGTTTAATAATTCTCGCACGTAACCGCATTGCCACCGCATTCGTTGAAATTTTAATTTTCCTTGGCCCGTTTCAGTTATTATAGGAGCGATTCCGCGTTGCGGCTGCGGTGGCCTGCATCCCGATTTCCTCTGCGTTCATTCTAATTATCCGTTCGTTACGTTTTACGTTTTCCACCGAGTTGCGTCCCGCTGCTATCTGCCGTTATCCACTGCTGTCGCTACGATCTGCACCTGTCGCGGGATCAGCCAGCCAGCAATATCGAATTGCGCGTGAGAAGTCATCAGTGTCCGATCCGAAGTAACATCGGGCAATAATCGGTATACGCGCGACAGTGTGTACTCGTCACGATGACCGCGATGCTCGGCACGGCGACTCAAGGGGGGTGAAGCTTCCGCCGAAACCCCATTGTCTCGATCGATACTCTTCATTGTGAAAACAGCTTTTACAATTACGTCGATGGGTTCAGTTTCGAATCACGTCCGGCCTTGTGGATTCTCTAACACAGTGCTAGTGGAAAATTTTCTTTCGTAACTTTGGGGTCTGTCCAGATCTAGCTGAGACTTTCGTAATAGAATTCCTACTAGGGAATTTGTCTGGCAGTAATAAAATGCAGAAACATTCGTGCTGGGCGCACGCGCAGTCTATTAATAACAATAAATGAACGGCAATTGGAATTTGATGGCATTTGGGACGCGGGACACGAGGAGAGCAGGCAAACCGCAGGTTGCTTTTGACGTTTCGTCCCACTGAAGCGGCGGCCATCGGTACTACAGGGGGTAATTAAAAGTGAAGAAACTAGAGGCAACAGAGCAGCCGACGGAGGAGGAGAGAAAAATGTGGAGAGTCCGAGTTTCCTGTGTATTGTTCAAACGAAATAAAAGCTACTGGATGACCAGTGCCAGCTTTATTTTTTCAAAACAAATATTTAACTTTCCAGCAGAATGCCTTCGAATCACTCCGTTTAATTGCTACCACCATTTTGCCGTTCTTAACTGTCGACGTCCCGACGCCCGACGTCCCGACGTCCTTCGCACCAAAGTATCAATCGTGCCACCAACTCCACCAGTGACTTCGCTCGAAAACTAGTCAACTCGCATGGACGTTAATCTGCGATCCAGCTACGAAAATTGCTATCCTGAAGTTGGCAACGCATCAATGTGGAACTGGCAATGTGGCAACGGCAACATCAATCTGCAAGTTGATCGCAGGCCTGTATTTGGCCAAACCCAGAAGAGGCTTATCCTCCGCTTGGTTTATGCTTCTATTTAATGACTTCCGGACTACTGGCACTATCAGTTCAGAAATCTTGCTGTTCGTTTTCAAATTTCACCCGTACAAATTCGCTCGACATATTTCTAATGAAGTTCGCTATTTCAAAATGCCCGAGATTACCAAATTCATGCATTTCTCCTTCCACCTGTGTACGCTGTGTACGCATAATGGGCTCATACTTATTTCTCTAACAATAAGACCAAGTTCTGCGATTTTTTGCTCATGCGTTCTCACGATTACTCGCTACAATAATACTGACACGGAAATAGCACCATTAAATTCCCTTTATTTCTGTTGACATCTAATAACTGTCCGAGAAGAAGTATCCGCGGTAATAAGGTTAGAGGATCTTGTCAAATCTTATTAACCCAATCGTCCCATCTCCCGCGATGCCCGGGATCCTCATGATCCTCAGAATCCCCACAATTCCCAGCATCCCCATTTGACCCTTTCGCAACACTGCTCTCCCTCCTATCTGATACTTCGAGAAAGTAACACTCACTCAGAGAATCTCATATACAGCTTCCGTCCGACATTTTGGACCTACGAGTCCCTTTGAAGAAGATCCTTCAAAGAATCCTGACAAAAAAAGATCAGCACTAAGGTCTTTCCCAGTTAAGGGAAGGTTCTTCGATGAGCCTATTAAGTCGTTCCCATTAGCCAGGCGTTCTTGGCAGGCCACTCGAGTTGGAGAGGTGAGCCGCTTTCATTAGCGGAGGGCACGACGGAGGGCACGACGGAGGGCACGAGTGGATTAGACGAGTTTCCTCCAATTGCCAAAAGGACACATGCAGGATATTGCGAGTGGGAGACGGGAGACGGCAGGACGAACGATGTCCTGCCGAGATTTCTCGACTGCGAGACGATGAAATTGCGAGACTGCGAAATGCCAGCGAGCAGAATGAACTTGGGTTAAATTGTGCTGATCGAGCTGCTGCCTTTCCGTGATTCAAGAGTGCGTCCGGCATTGTGTCGCCTAGGCCCACTGCGCCGGCCATTCCCACCAACACAACGCATCCCGCTGGCTCCTCTGATAGGAGATAAAATTCTCCAGCATCTCCTGCGAACTCTTATTTAATTTATACCTTAGGGTATTCATATAACATTCTCGCAAATTATTTCGAGCCGCTGCTGCCCTCCTATAAAAATATGAATAATTTTTATAGCGAAACGCGATGCTTTGCATTCGCTGCATATCTCTCCGGCTTGAAGAATGAGAAAGTGAATGGAATAGAGGAAAGCCATTAAGAGAAAAATAAACAGAAAGAAGGATATTTCAAGAGCGATTCCATCTCTGGTTTTGGTGCTTTTTTCCAGCATCAGCACAATGCCGTATCCCGCCCGACTTCGTGGTTGCGGAACCGCGATGGTACCCGGAAAATAGATGCCATAGCAAAAAAATAAAATGCATATACACTTGATTCTCCAAAAGTTTGGTAAATATTTGTTTTTAAACCAGAGGATTGGAACGGAGAGAAAATTATAAGTGATACCGGTTGGCAACGTGAAACGAGAATACATCGATCAAACTCAGAGTCCACGCGTCCTCGTGTCAGTGATGCCAAACGAAATCTATCGGTTGAAGAATTAAAGACGACGCCCTCCGACGCGACGTTTCAATCGTTTCGGAACCCTCAATTCCCTGCACGTTCACGAAATGCACGTATAGAAACCATGATGCACAGACTGGAATGGAGCGTCGTCATGCTCGCTTATGCATGGCGTCGTTTGAAAATAAAGCACAAGAAATACACAAACAGGCGCGCGAGTCTTCGATAAGAAAGTTTTCGAAGACAGGACAGAGTTGATACGTAAGAGAATTCTTTGAAATTCCTCACGTGCTTTGGCGTCGCCTAGCGGAGTCCCGTTCGAAGTAACCTTATCGAGAAACCCCTCGCGACTACCCCCAGCCCCAGCTACATCCATCTATCCCCCGAGCCCTCGCTGTCCTGAATACAAACAAGTTTTCTTTTCTTAACGAAACTGCTGCTTTACCTCTGCCTCCGGCGACTGCACGATCAGCGACGTCCTCGGCGGCTTCTCGGGCGGCACCTTCTTCAGGGTTCCCGTCGTGAAGGTGGCACCGGGTGGCAGGACCGACGGCACCGACGTCACCGACGGCACCGACGCTACGTTCACGACACTGGCACTTTCGAGAATCTCACTTGGACACAACCGATACGGCAGCGAGCTGCGGGACGCGTCGCCACGCTCGAAATGTGCCAAATTCGGCAACGGCATTTGAGACATATTAGGGATCTGAATGGGATTAGGATCATGCTGGATGTCATGCTGCGGACGAGGCGAAAGCTTTTCCGCAGTCAGCTGGGCCTGACTCTGAAGAGCAGACGGATGTGACGTCACAGCGTGCAGACTCTGATGCATCTGGTGTATCTTTTCCACAGATTGATCCTGGTTGTTAGTTCCTGCGTGAGCATCGCTATCCACGCCGCTCGTGTGATGCTGAGGAAATTCAGTCTGTTGCCTTTGAGCCTGCCCAGCCTTTTCGCAATTCTGTCCTGAACTCTGAAGAGCCTGTATTCGCACCTGAAGATCGCTCTGCTGATGCTGAAACTGCGCCACTTTGTCCAGGATTTGATTTTGATTCTGTAGACACTGCAGCTTTGCCTGCAGGTCGCTTTGCTGCCTCTCGAATTGCGTCAACTTTTCGGAAATGATGTCGAGACTCTGTTGATTTTGCATCTGCATCTGCACCTGCTGCACCTCGGCCTTCTCATTCTTTTCATCCTGTATCTCTAGTTGCCCATGAAGATTGTCAGCCTGACTCTTACTGTGAGTCAGAAGACTCGATGACGCGTTGTGACTCTTCCGGTGGCTGTGAATTATGTGATCGACCTGCTCGATCGGCTTACCGGGACTCTCGCCAAAGTCAGTGACGACAGTGAGAGCAATCTTGGTGTCGAGCTTCGCCTCGCTGAACGCTGCATACTGATGACAGAGATTCGGACTGGCCCTCTGAGAGGAGACGGTTCCCACGGGGCCAGGAGCCAAATTAGCGACGGACCCGGTGACAGGCTGGTCGTCGAAATCCTTCCTGGACAGTTCCATGTGCTTCGTTAGATCCGCGCTCACGTGACGCAGATGTCGCCGCTGTTCCATTATCGTACTCTGACTGATATTTGGCATCGGCTGAAATGCGGACTGGGACATTCTGACGTCCTTCCTCTCTTCCGGCTGATGAATTCTCGGATCTCTTCGCTCTTCGGAATGGTTCCTAGACCTTGGACTGGCGGAGAACACTTGACCCTGAAGCATGCCTCTCTCCAGTTCCTGCCTCTGTCTCTGCTCCGCCCAGATGGCCAGTTCCTGCCGAGTTTTCTCAAAGGCCTGATTGACGAACGACGGGCTCTTTTGGGCTGCGCGATCGGCCGACGTCTCCCGAATCGGCACGAAGGGCATCGGCGATCGTCGGATGTCCTCGAGCCTCTTTCCTTCCAATGTCAACGGAGACCTCCGGTGCTCTTCGAAGTAATCGGATCGTCTGTTGTCCTGCGAGATCGATCTCTGATTGGGACTGACGTTGCCCCACTCGGCCTTCCGGTCCATGCTGATGCTCTTCCTGTTCTCCTGTCTGTTTTCGAAAGTCATCGGAGAAACTCGCATCCCGGGATCGATTCTTCGCTGATCGCTCGAGAATATTCCAGGTGTCTCCAGTCTCTTGGTCTCCGCGTTCGACAACTTCCGAGCCGGCACCATCACCTCCTGACTATCCCCCGGGAAGGTGAAGGTTATAGTGTCGTTTCTACGCTGGAAGCTGGACGTCACGTCGACCGACGCCGATTTCCTGTGTTCCGATCTGGATACATAGAGCCCGCAATCGGACGCCATGGAGTCGGTTAATTTTTCTCGCGTGACAGGATCGCCATTGGAGTCAACGTAGAGTCCGTCCTGTCGCGTTCGTGGATTTTGATTAATTGGTGCGAGATATCGGCGCTCCGTTCCCGTTCCTTCGGGAGCCACCTGTCCGGCGATAGCGATTGCTCCCTCGCTGCGATGCATTTCAGCGGCACTCGAGAGGACGCCTGGCTTCTGAATCGAAGAGACGTCCATACTGCTGGATTTTCTTTGGCCTTGTTCCTGAGTGATTTTTGAATTTCCCCTGGGCGGGACCATAGGTTTCGGACCGCGATTGGGTCGTTCCGCATTAGGCAGAGTCATTCCTTGCGTTACGTTTTGAGCGATGGGCTGAATAATCGGTTGATTCTGATACTGACTTAAATCCTGCGAGAATCGCTGGGGATTGGGCGACTGTTGGCCAAATTGCTGAGCATAGATCCCAGCGTGAGGATTGTAGGGCACTGGGTTGATCAGTGCCTGCGAATACTGGCTGTACGGGTACTGAGGCTGAGTCGCGTACTGGGCATATCCTTGCTGAGGAACCATAACTCCCGAGTAATATGGAGGCTGGGGACTGGCTGATTGGGAAGGCTGAGGCTGCACAGTCACGTACTTACTCTGCCCACCGAAGACAGGATTCGAAGTGGGTTGACTGTAGAGTCCCTGCTGGTCCCTGTAGGTAACATCTCTGCTCACGTAACCGGCTCTCTCGTTAAACTGGCCTTGAGGATACATCTGCGATCTGACCTCGAACTGCGACCGAATCTGACTGTACTGGGTCTGCTCGCCGGGATAATCTGAGGCAAATTGAGGTTGAGCCTGCACGGGTAGGGTTTGAGTACTTGTCTGGGACACATACTGAATCCTGTCGACGGGCAAAGGTGCCAACTGTCCCGGAACAGGATGTCTCTCCTCGGGCTGACCACCTGACTGCCTCCGGCCCTGATTCACCGAATACTGTCCAGCCTGCTGAAGCGCCTGCGATCCATCGGCATTGTACTGCTGTCCCTCGAATCCTATCGGAAGCTGCGACATCTGAGCCATTTGTCCAATTTGCCCGGATTGCCCAACGACCTGGACCCTCTCCTGAGCACGCTCCTGCGCGTATCGCTCGTACTCCATCGTTCGATTTTCAAATCCGTTCGAGAGATCGGGAACGTTCGATCCTTTCTGACTGGACTCTGCATGACCTTCGGATTCCGTCTGGCCGTTCTGGATGCTCCTCTGGTTCTGAGCCTGATTGCTCAGGCTCTGACCGTTCTGAGAATGAACGGGTTGAACTGCAGCTCCGCCCGATCCGGATTGCGACATGGTGGCTCCCACCGACGGTCTTCCGCCGATGTAGCCGAGGATTCGCCCCAGACCACACACCGTGACAAGTTACCTGGGACCCAGGGGAAATTTGCTAAGGTGCATCACACACGATCTAAGCTTCCTGGAAGTTTTCGTTCGACGCCCAAAATACGCGACGCATGTAATCCAAGACACTGAATGCTGTCGGGCGTCCCTGTATGATCCCCAACCGAGCTCGCTTGTGTGATCGATCCTTCGATATCTACGTACGAGTATTTCTTTGAATTCTTCCTTTGACACAGCTTAAGCCAAGTTTCGAAGGAACTGCAGCTTTTTGATATCGTCCTTGATCGTTTGAGTCTCGATTTTTGTTTCTTGATGAAAATGCCCAGATTAAAGACTGAACTCTTCGTATTTCGTAATGCTCCGTGATAACCGTTACCCGCTAAATTAATTCCTAGGGCTTAGTAGTTTTAGTGAAATTCGTTGGAGTTTCTCTTGTTGCACCTTAGATTCGTAACATTTAATTTTTAACCTATTGGGCAGTCGTTTGATTCACCTTACAAGACGCGATGATTATATTGACTAAAAGTTGAGGCTTATCGTAAAATGTGCTCGAAAAAACTTGTAGAACTCGCGTCCCTTTTCTTGGCTAGACGTTGGGTGAGAAAAAGGCCGTTATAAGCCGTGTAAACAATTGAATTCCCTTTGATTTTCAATATCGAAGCGCTCGAATTCACGAGCGGGATTAATTGGAGGCTTCTCTCACTTATCACTTAAATTTACTATAAATATTTCAAAATAGCATCCGCTGCCCGATCACTAATTTGACATCGATTCACCTTTGATTTCATTGCACTGATAGTCCACTAATTATTGAGCACCTCCTATTACACCGTTAGAACCGTTTAGTGTTATTCATTTTCTTAAGTTTTTCATCCTTTTCTTCCTCTAACGTTCTTGCTTCACTCGTATCTTTCTTATCGCGTGAGACAAATTCTCGCGGCCAATAATCCACTCGACAGAAGCGCGAGTATCATTTTCGGTTGAAGCTTTCCGAAGCGTTTCTCATAAGTTTCGTTGGTCTGATATTAACGATAATATCCTCGTAAATTCGATAACCGCTTCTCCTCCCTGAAATCCCGAGAAGCAGTTCGCAACCAATGATCTCGATTAACGCGTAACGAGCTCACCCGAGTGAATTTATCAGCTACAAAACAAACGTTTCCCTCGACACACTGCACAATAATTCCACCTTTGACACTTGACAAGTCACACCGCAACTACGGGGCAATCCGATCATCGGCACAAGTAGAATCGAATTCCAGATGACTGCAGAACCCCGTGGCCCGTGACGTACAAGCCGCAACGCACGAGAAACGTATAGAAGATAAAGGAATGCGAGCAATTCAGACGAGTCCCCTCTGTTATCACTTAAAAAAAAAAAAAAAAAACCCCATAAAAACATCCCTCGATTAAAATAAAATTCAGACGTGGACATACACGATTGCAAGCAAGCGATAAGAATCTTCGGAATGGTCGAGAGTGACTATTGAGCTAAATGATAACGGATGGACGCCGATGAAAGAGGAGATATCGACAGCTGCAATGCGAATCAGATGATTCGTCCTTGTGACCAATAATTATCTTCCTGATTTGCAAAAGTACGTTTTCCGCCTGAAAGATTTTAGTCGCTCGCAGAAGCAGCAGTTTCCTATATCCTAGATCCGATAGATTGTTCGGTTCCTTGGAAACGTCAGTTGGTCCTTCGGCATATCGAATGACTTCGAGAGAAGTCGGAGGCCGATTCTCGGAATAGGATCATCGGAGAGAAATGGTCGGCCTGATTGCGAATTCGCCCCGCGGATCTGGCCACTACACAGCTTCTTCCTTCTCCTTTCGAGTGCAAGCCGCATTCCGCCGATACGGATCTCCAATCTATTCCTCTATGTCAGCGGCGCTGCATCGAGGAACTCTCCAGTGCCGTATTACGACGGTCCACTCCACAAGCATCGCTACGAGCAGGACAATGGCCACGAGTCGGCCGGTTTACAGTTATATTGGGTAGTTTCGCTTCTAGCCGATCCGCTTGAGGTTTTCTTCGGGAAATGCGAGCCAAGTAGAAAATCATTGAAGGACACGAGAGAAGGAGGAAAAGGAGAAGATTTCTGTTTCTGGACGAAACAAGTTCTTCGAGAAAATAATTTGAAAATTTGAACAGAGGAGGAGGTCGGAACTGCTTCGAAGGGGAAAACCGAATGTAGGAAAACAATGGACCAGGTGGAATTTCATTTTTGGCGCATTTTTTACCTTCAACACCACATTGCCAATTGCCAACGGAATATTGATGACGCGTCGGCACTTTGAAGAGGCTTCAGTGACGCGCCCTCAAGGAAGGGAAATCCGATTCCTGAATTTGGGAATCTTCCACTCTGTCCTCCTTGTTTCTCACGTTCGCTATTACCGGGTGACATCGAAAAAGTAGTTCCGGTCAGCAAGATAATAGCAATCTTTAAAGATGGCACGGACTATGGAGTTGGCCGTCGATCTGTTATCGGGCGAGCGGCGAGATTTAAAATCCAATTAAAGTTTCCAGAGCGGCTGGGTAAAGATGGAGTGGAGGAATCGACCGACCGGTTTATGGAAAGATTCGCCAAGATAGTTTATCCAGAAGCTCCTATAAAGTTCAACTTCTTTCCAGGTTAAATGGTTACTTTTGAAATTGCCTTTTCACATGCTGCTCTAAACCTTGACGGTGCGTCGCGAATTGCCGATGCACCGCGAGAGCCTTGGATCATCTCGCGACGCCTTGTCTTTTTGAATCCGTGCGATTCCACTTGTTAGCGCAACTGCAATTCCTGTAGCAGTCCCAAGCAAAAAGGTCACCCATGAAATTACAAAATTTCGATAATTTAACTGGAATTGAAATTTAGCGATGACTTTCCTATCGTTCGAAAAGAGGATTATTAGATTGAGAAGTACGATTGAATCTCGTAATCGAAACAACCAAGTCTCCGGAAGTCACGAATTCCACGGGCTGACGAAAGCTGGCGATAACGCGCAAGAATTGGCTTTAACTGAATTTTACCAATTTCCGTTTCGGTCATTGCCGACCGACACCCTTTCTCTCACATTGAATTAGTTTCGCGATGGCCGATCTGACTGGGAGCTCTGAATTAGAATCTATTAAGATCGACTATGGCTACTGGAAGGGTTATCGACGTCCCCACTAATTAGTTCCTGAACTCATCGCTTAAAGATTTGTAAATGACCAGAGCCTCGGCATTCGAGAGGAAATGCAACGGATTCCCCTTTATGCCACCAGACTAATGAGTGCGACCTGTTTCTCTGTGTCGCTGGTTCCTCGTGTTCCTCGTGTTCCTCGTGTTCACGTATTTCAACTGGCAATATGGCGGCCAATGTGGCGACGTGGAGCCGAATCTGGGGCGAAATAAAAATTCCGAGTTTTATAGAGGAACCGGGTTCGCAGGTTACGGCAGACTGCAATGCGCAGCGACTATATTGCTCTCTGCCCGCAATCTCAATAATTCTTTCTCATACATCATCTTCCATCATATTTCTCATCGACCGTTTCCCTTTTTAACACTTTCATAGATTATACTCAGCCGGAATTTAAACTATTTCTGTGACGTCAGCAATACTTGGAACAAGTTCCAAAAAAAAGATATTTTCGTTACTGACGTTGCTGCTTGAAAATACAGGAATTCAAGAAAATTTCCAAAACTAGTAAAAATAATAATTTAAAGGAGAAGTGTGCTCCAAGAGAAGACACACGATTAGAAATTAGGAAAAGGCGGGGGGGGGGGGGTTTTGTTTAGAAGAGGAAGAAGAGGAAGAAGAGGAAGAAGAGGAAGAAGAGGAAGAAGAGGAAGAAGAGGAAGAAGAGGAAGAAGAGGAAGAAGAGGAAGAAGAGGAAGAAGAGGAAGAAGAGGAAGAAGAGGAAGAAGAGGAAGAAGAGGAAGAAGGAGGCACAGAGAAGTCAGAGGAAGAAGAGGAAGAAGAGGAAGAAGAGGAAGAAGAGGAAGAAGAGGCGGAAGAAGCGGCGATGAAAGGTGGGAAGTGAAAAGCACAAATGTTTATATAAGCTGATTCGGTTGTGCCGTTTAAATGAGTAGAAAGAGGCTCTCGGCTGACGTAGCAAGAAACGGGGGAGCGTAATTCCCTGGGACTCTACTTCACCTTACAGCCTCCTCCTTCTTCCGCCATTATGCGCCTCCAAGTACACACTACATAGGTACATGCCTAAACAAACATAGCTACACGAGAACCCGCGTCTGTCTTCCTCGTGCCAGAGGCAGAAGAGACGCGATGATAGTAGATGGAGTACAATGGAAGAAAAAAAAAGGTAATTGTCGAACCAATAGCTCGACTCTTTTGTTTCGCTGCGAATTGACTTTCCTGCGCACCCGAAAAATCGTCCGACACTGATAGGAAGGAGGACGTACGATTCATGCTCCTTGTAAGGAAGCGAAGAGAAAAAGGAGCAAAGACGTAAAATGACGATCTTCGCCGATAGACCTGAGTGAAAAGCGGCAAGAGACGAAGCGGAAGGAAGACGAATGCACGAGAGGAAGCCAGAGGATATTGGGAAAACTCTTTCAATTGCCGAGCCTAAGAATTTCGCTGGAGCCCAACCGACGTGGACTGGCTGGTTCTGGGTGCAGGAACGTTCTAGACCGAACCGGCCTCAAGTCGACCAACGAGCATCGAGTACGTGATTCGACTCGCCAAGACGCGGCAAGTGCGACTCGCTGGATCGAATAAAATCCGGGCACCTCTAGCAGCACGTGGGGGACGGGCCCGCCATGATGAAACCTTTCTCATCCCAGGAGCCTCGGAAAATTCCCAGCGGTCTCGTAGATTCGTCTTAGGAGAATTTTGTATCAGGTCCAACGTCGCTGCTCCTTTTTGCGAAGATCGAGTCACATGGGAATCCGTTCCACTGCGCCAACCGGTCTCTGCTATATGCGCTTCTACACTGGTACTCGTACATTCTTCATGCTCTATGGCCATAGTGAATGATGCCTGGAATAACCGTCGCGACGGCAAACGTCACCGAGGCTCATTGTCCTCGACAACAATCGCTCGGCGAACTAGCTTCGCCAAGAGCACGAGGACTCGTTTGTTCTCGAGGAGGTTTTTCATACCGGTGAACGACCTATTAGTCTACGTTCGCCCTTCGGCATCGAGAGTCGATTCCAGTTCCCAGGGAAAATACCGGCTGGTTGGCTTGGCCTAGTCGGTCTAGTCGGTCTAGTCGGTCTGGTCGGTCCGGTAGACTTGGTTGCCTCTTGACGGTCCTCGGTGCCTTGGCAACGGAGAAGCGAAGGGATCAAATGGGGAGTCAAGAAACACCAAAGCCAGGGGCGACCAATTCGAATGATTCCGAATGATTCTGAATATCTGAGAGAAAATAGCAAAGACAGGCAGTGAAGGCAAATGTCTCCAGGATGCCGCTGAGGAAATTGGGATCGACGGCGCCTCTTTGGCAATAAGTTAACCTAGGAAGATGAAGGCAGACACTACGAGAACTCCGTGATTCTTCATCAATAAGAATTATGGGGGTTGTTATGAAAGCACGGGAACGCGGAAGAGAAATGGCTGATGGCAGAGTCGAAGCAAAAAACAGGAAGGAGTACCGAACGAAAAGAGTTCGAACCGAGTGGCGGTGGTGCTCGTAGGGGTGCTCGAGGGTGGCATCTGGCGCAGGCCGACGCACCAGGAAGAGAAAGTTGAAAACTCCCCGTGATCGTGGAGGCAGCGAGGATGGAGCGACACGGGAAACTATTTTTTGGAGAGTCGCGCAGAAGAGTGACGCACGCAACGAAGAGCCACTCGGCGAGTCAAGATCCTGCCTCCTGCCTCCTGCCTCCTGCCCTCGGGTCCACTCCCTGAACTCATCCTCGACTTCCAGCACCGCCACAGCCTCCACAGCCTCCACAGCCTCCTCGATCCATGTGGTCCACTGCCCCGTCAGAATTTCATCACATCAGGAGTCCTCGGGGTCAACGATAATAAATGTTGAGGTGAATGCGATACTAAGGGAGTCATAAGGGAGTAAATCGAATGAGAGAGCAGTGGCCTTTATAAAAGAATGAGAATAACAAAGAGTGAAACTACGGTGAACGAGACTCAACTTCCAGGCCCATAAGTAGCTAAACTCCCAGGGATCCATAGATGTTGATCGCAAACAGTAATTTTAACTAAACGATAATTAGCCATGCACATAACAGCAATGGAGGCAGGAAAGGCACGTCGCATCCTCCTCTCCGTCTCTTCACCTCCTTCGCTTTCAGTTCTTCGAGAAGCTCATTTACCTTCTGGGTTCGCGGTAGCACGTGGTTCAGTAGCGCGTAAGCTCCCACAATTTCCCAAAGTGCCCCACAAATGCCTTAAGGCTAATTTAATCGTTCGCATGAAACGACGACCGTATTTTCCGTTACGCGGAAACGTACTGAATTACAGGGAAATATGTTCCAAATGGAAATGCATTTCGGGCAGGTCACGAGTTTACGTATTGACATTAGTTCACGGAAAACACTTTGAACTTCAAACAGGAAAGCCGCAACTCTACGATCGAATTTTTGGCAGAATTATAAAAACAGGGGAGAGAGAGAGAGAGAGAAAGAGAGAGAGAGAGAGAGAGGGAGAGAGAGAGAGCGAGTGAGAAAATGTAAAAATAATAAATTGGCTTTCTCAATGGGCGTAGGAGGATTTATTTCGAAATCGCTACATATCGCATGTAGAAATGAAACTGCCGTTTACGTGGTGACATTGCGTGGCATCTGTCGGCTTTGATACAGCATCTTCCAAAGCGTAACGCGTGACACGCAACAAAATTACGCATATGCAATTGAGGTGAAACAGGTTTCTACATATGGCCAATTTCGAGCCACATTGCAGTGAAACAAACGTTTGACGAAATGACAAAGAGCCAGTAGGCAGTCGTTAAGTCAGCCAAAAAATTTGGAGCTTCTCTATCTATTGGAATATCCATGAAATTCGTTATTTTCATTACCATTATAGTCCAACTATCTTCCAAAGATCTATTATTGGAAATAACGCGAAAATTAAGGTTGAGATATTGCGTGTGTTATGACGTTATGAGAAAAAGAAAGATTTTAAACGAAAGTAAAAGAAAATGCATTTTTCGGATGGAACGAAATTTTGATCGACACCCAGCCAATGTTCGATAGTAGTTATTCGTGCGGCGTCACGCGAAGGCGTGTGCTGGCAACTGGCAACTGGCAACTGGCAACTGGCAAGGACGTTTCCCGACGGCCAAAATCGGCAACTCGTGCTCGTGCGGCAGCTTTAAGCACACGTTCTGGCAAGTCCTGTGTCAGAGTGTTCCACAAGCAACCCTTACAGGTTCCAACCCCTCCCGTTCCGATAATTTCGTGGAAGACCGCGACAACAGACTTTATGTGAAGGCGAATCCTGAGCCAAAATTAACTGAGAGTTTCGCTCTAATTTCGTGCAACAGCGTCACTGGCGTCGCTGGCGTCGCTGGCGTCGCTGGCGTCGCTGGCGTCGCTAGCGTCGCCTCCGTCGCTGCGAGATAACTCGGTCTAACGTAGAAGCCAAAGTATCCTAATATCCTAGTATCCTGCTGGAGACAAGATTAATCCAGGTTCGATATGCGAGCAGAGAACATTGCCGACGCTCTAGATACTTGCTGCTGCAGCCTTCCTTCCCGCGTAAGTAAACAATTTTCCGTTTTTACTAAAAGATAATGGGATTCAAGCACAAATACTTCAACTTCAAACCCATCTGATGCGCAAATTGAAAATTCGTTTATATAAAATTGGCTTGCGCAAAGGGCACTACAGTTATGCAGGAATCGATAGGGATTCGAATAGCTAGTTATATGTAAATCCGAATTAATGAAAAATTTCATTTAGTGGCAGAACTCCGTGGCAGAACTGTTTTTCCCGTAAGACATTCTCCGCGTTTCATTTTCTCGAAAGAAAATGCATTACAACGCATACAAAAAACAACTAATGAAATTCTGGAGGTTCTTTTAGAATCTTTGAAAAATTGTTAAAATAAAAGTACAAGGAGGCTTGTGAAAAAGCAGGAGCAGCCCCTGTGCCCCAGGCAATTTCCAACGAACGTGTCGAACAGTCCATTGCGGCCGAGCAGTTCCGGTCGGTCGGCAGCCCAATGAGTCTCAAGCACCTCGACTGCTTGATATTCCAGTGGGACAGCCAGCGTCTCAATGCATTCACAGTGCAACGACGGGCGTCCAGCTTCTGGGTTGGGACGCGCATCTGCGACAGAGCGCCACCCTCGCCCATGACAAAGTTCACAAAATCGACTCCACCCTTCCACCTTTCCACGAACACGTCAGCCCGTCTAATCGCAATCGCCACCGGAAGTCGGCGTCCTCCATCCTTTACTTTTGACTTTACACGTTGACAATAAAAAGCGATGGGTACCTGCGCTCTTTTCTGGCCATAAAAAATTCTCACGATGCAAATAGCAACGGCGATCAGGAATACAGCACGAGAAGACACGCGATATATGATCTTTTAATCGAACCAGAGGCAGAGCGAAAAAGAAAGTGGAGCAAGGAAGACGCGGAGCAATTTGCAGAAGAAGCACGATCCTCGTAAAACGGATGCATCGCTGCATAAACGGACGAGCGCTTGAGATCTTTATAAGGGGTTGAAAGGTGATGCGCGAGCGAGCATAGAGGCGCTCTGCGGAACGGAAGGACGAAA